AAATATATATACATACATATAATTTAGGATTTAATATGCATTAACAAATTGAGCATACATATAAACTATATATATATGTATGTGTAAAGCAACAAATTGTACGTTTTGAAGCCAACAACAAATAATACGCCTGAATATATCAACAGATTTGGAAACACTATATATGTATATATATGAGCATTCAAATGTACTTCAATGTGGAACGCTTATTGAAATCGATCGATGCGAGAATAGCGACATCTACCGGCAGCCGCGGCTATGTAGAAAGCTGAACTCAGCTCTCTCTCTCCCACCATCTCCTTCCTGCTCACACAGCTCACGTTTGCGTAGTGCGGGCGTGCGGCGCTAGATGGCGCTATCTTGCATATCGAAAATTATGAACCTAATTTAAATGCTTGTTCGAATTGTGTTTGTTAAATGAATTGTTTGCAATAGCCTCTGTAGACTGCGATTACCGTTTTATACCTTAATGACATTTAATACTATTATTTAGACAAATTGTTGTTCATGCTCACAGAAAACTACAAAAATAACAAGGAAACCAAGCAATATTTAACAAAAAATGAAAAACAAAAATTAGAATTCAACCAATTTTATATAAGAGAATATTATAACTAATTAAATTTGCCTGAGAATTAATACAACACTAAATACGCTAATCAAATCAAATCAAATGAAATCAAATCAGAGAAACCCAGTTAACCAATATCACTATCACTATCACTATCATTATCATTATCATTATCATTACTATGAAAAGTCTTAGCGTAATTGCCTTCTGTTGCACGATTCATTGATTGTTGCTAGTTTTGCGGCTACCGCAGCCCCTAAATATGCAATAATAAATGCAGCTTGTGACTTATTTTTATGTACAAATTAGCTATTAATAATAAACAATTCATTTCATCACTATCAGAGACCAAAAAAACCAAAACCAAAACAAAAGAAGCAAAAAAAAAAACAAAAAGAACAACAAAAAAAAATTTCAAATAAAAAACTATTTTTGTACAAAAATATATTACAATTACTTTCTTGTGGTCTTATAAGTGCAATATTATTTAATTGGTCGCAAAGTTTACCTTAACTTTTCATCTAGCATATTCGTAGTACATTTTCTAACGGGCATCATCTAGTGGATCTCTGTACTGGAATATTATATTGGAAATATTTAATCCATCGTTAGGTCTATCCATCAATTAGTTCTCTATCTACATTTATAGATTATCATATGGAAATCAATACATAGTGTACAAAAGCTATGTATATAGTTGATCTTTGATCTTTGGCGCTCTTCTGTGTTTTTATTTAATCTATAAAATATTTTAAGCAGTAGATCCTAAATAAAATATCATAATGTCTTCTGCTATTATCATCTGAATACCCATTTTCAATATATATACTTATTGACACTTTCATTCTCATCAAGTACTTCTAGTTATCATTCTCTTTGTGAGTTCAATTTCAAATAGTTATATACAACATACGTAGTATATGGCTTAGATTCCTTATCTAATGAATAAAAATATCTCTAATTCTCATAGATGCCATTCAAAGCACTAGTATCCAAAAGAAAAAGGAAAAGACCAAAGCATTACTTAATTTTACATACATACATCTAAAAACATTTCCCAAATTTTAAGCCCTTGCAGTATGGATATTTCTAGCTGATTCTTATTAGTGCACAAGTATGGAAATATCATCAATCCTCCTATAATTGACACTGAATAGTGAAAGCATATATGTTTACAGATTGGATATAGATTATGAATACACTTGGGTTCTAGCTAGGAATTAGGCTACAGTTTTCACTGAGAGTCAGCGGAGAATCCAGTGCATTCCCTTTCTCTGGCAGGCGACTGGCAGTTGGTGTCTGCTGTGACTAGTCAAACCACCTGATGTACCCCCAAGCAGCATCTTCAGGTTGATCTTCATTTGCTTGGCCAGGTGCCCCAATTGATTCCAGCTTTGTATTTTACCGTTGCCTTTGCCAAAGTCGAAAAAGTGGAATGGAAAGGCAACTGGTCTCTTGGCCGCTTCGTCGCTTGGTTCGCACACCTGGCTCACCTGTTCTAGCTCGAGCTCGGGCGACCAAATGTTCCTCTGCTTTCGAGCTGACAAGTTCAGTGCCGTCCATCAGTCGCAACACTCGCATCGCGAAAGACTCCCAGAAAGGGTTTCGATCTTACAACGTGGATCTTGTGCTCTGTTTTTGTTTTGTTTGTTGTTTTCTTGGGTGAAGCTGTGAAACATTGTGTTCATGCCGTTTATGTTGTGTGTCGCGTGTTGCTTACGCGTTTCAGTGGTTCTGTTCAACATTGCTTAAATCTCGATATGGACAGTGCATCTGGTAAGTGCCCAAGGTCTTCCCCTATCAAATAAGCGATGCGTGTGCCCGAAGGCAACTCCAAGTTCAAGACCCGGTCAGATCCAGTTTGTGGTTCGCTAGATTGGCCTTCGCCTATTTTACAGCTGCAGTTGCCGCCAAAAAGTAAAAGAAAAACTAGAAAACCTGTTGGCGTGTGCCACTTACCCAGTGCAGAATGTAAGCCACTAAAATCAGAACACGCTCAAGAATCTGGCTTGGAGAACGACACTCAAATTTAGTTTGAGGTTGGTCATCTCCATATGACTATAATATTTAACCCATCGCATACTTTAGCTTTCCTTATCTCAACTAAATTTAAGTCTTGATCGATTCTTATATCTCTATGTATAAATATATATTTGTATTTATTATGTCTACATATATCCTATATTATATCGCTTTCACATCTCCCTCACAGTTTAAAAATAAAGGTATTTAGTATATTTCAAATCCTTAACAATTTTAATTCAAAGTCCAACACCAAAAACACGAAGTAAAAATAAAGTATTATCATTCAGTTAAAGTAAAAACTCAATGAAAAGAATGTAATCGGAGCAGAAGGAGCTCATTATTTATGGTCACATAAACTGAGATACATTTGGATATAGAAGAAATGAAATAAATACATATATACATGTGCAATTGTGATTCAAGGACAAGAAGTAGTTTAATGTTATCATTTGAAGCATAAATGTTGTCTACAGTTTACAATTCAAAAATTTGTATTTCTTGTTAATTGCTGAGCCCATTGCAAATGGGGAAATCAGGATATATTGGGTTTCTGAAATGTATGTAGCAGGCAGAAGGAGGCCAATAAACACATATGTACATATATGCTTGATCTGAGTCGATATAGCTCAGCAATGCATAAATTAAGAATCAGAGCTCAGGGAATCGCTCAGTAGAGCAGTCTCGACTAGAGCTCTCTTTTTTGTTTTCAATATTTAATATATTCATCTTATTTATATTATTAACTAGCTGGCCCGGCAAACGTTGCATTGCCCTCTAYATTATTTCTAGGTAAAAAATTGTTGAAAGCTATGTTGTTCAGGTTGGGATACACTCTGATTAATTTATTAATCGGATTTTCATTCAAGCACCTTGTGGTAAACGACATTCTTCGTTTTTTGGTC